TATGGCCACAGGTGTCTTATCATAAGTTTGGACACATGTGATTAAGTTCTACTTACCCACCTATCTCATGGTGAAGCATCTTGTTTTAGTAGGACTGTTTTACAGTAGAGTTTGAAGTAAATAATGTGATGTCTCCAGTTTTCTCAGGGTGATTTTTCAATTTCAGCTCTTTCACAGTATTATATATTTTTTGGCGTTCTATGCAATGTATTTCAAATATGGTGCATAAATTTGATACATATGGCTGCCACCCCAGAATGCTGGCTGATGGGTTTTAGGCCTTCACAGTGCCAAATCCTGAAAAAATGAGCAGGAGGCCAGGGTGGGGCCAGAGAACAGTTGGGAGGACAAGGACTCCCCATCCCAGCCTCAAGACCCCCAGCCTCAGGCGCCACACCTCTTGGGCCTGGAGAGAGTGCTGGGGCAGTGAAGAGAGCAGTGCCCCAAACAAGGGTAGAGAGGGCACTCAGGCAGGCCAGGGAACTTCAGGAAAACACTTCTGGGCCTGAGGTACTTCTGCAGGGGCCACCTCCCAAGCCAGAACGGACAGAGGGGGACCAGAGCCTCAGCCAGCTGCAGCACCCAGAGGCCCTCCCCACCCGCTGCTAGAACAGCGGTGCTCCTACCAATGCTCTTCTGCACCCTAAGGAGCTCCAAGTTGTGATATCTGGGCAATAGCCACACACATCCACATTAAAAAACACACACTCTCAGGCCCACATGCGTACCTGGAAGCCAGACCAACAGCAGCTCAGGATAGCTAAGCCCACTTCCAGGGTCCTGCCTGTCTCCCACTATGAGTTGACTGCACAGGCAGCTGACTTGCTCTTCTTTCTCCTCACCGCTCCCTGGGCCCCTTCCAAGCACACACAGAGACAGAAGCACTTGTGAGTGTGTTTATGTATGTCCCTCTCAGCATCACTTAAGAAATGTGTACCATGCTTGTCCTTTGCTCTCGCTGGCAATCCTTCCCTCCCTCGTGTCTATGACAGGCGTGAGAGCTAGCCGACTCATCCTGCCAGTGCTGCCACTTGTGTGCACCTCCGAAGTCTGGTTCGACTTGCTCCTCTGTGACCTCAAGTGGGTCTCTGGAAGGCCCAGCCTGTAGAGCAAGCATGATGCATTTGGGCACACACACAGAAGTGGAGGGGCTGTGGGCCTTTGTGTGAGAACCTGAAGGAGAGGCGGTGCCAAGGTCAGTCTTCAATGCCAGGTCTGTGGCCCCTTCCCCTTGCTCCCTGGCACCTGCAGGACACCTTGTGTCATCCAGACAGCCTGTGACCATTCTCACCATGGCCTAGGGGATTGTGGGAGGTGAAGGGGCAGTGCATGTTGACAACTCAGAGGGCAGGGTGACCGAGCAGTCTGCCAAAGGGAGGGGGTCTGAGAGCTGGACACCACAGACTTGAAGAAGGTTGTGTGCAAGGGCCTGTGTCTTGTGATTTGCTCCCTAGCTGGCCAGGGATTGAACTTGTGCTGCAGTGGCTGGTGATAGCTTGATCTCACTGTCCTTAACCCGTGTGCCACTGGGGGAGCCTAGAGGAGCCTGGAGGGGGAGTGGGTATGTGGGGAGGCGGCTGCAGAGCACACCAACAGCTATGAAATGAGGACTCAGAAGGTGAAGATGGAGCATGGTGGTCCTCTGCTCCCTGGGGGCCTCCCGCACTGCCCTGTGTACCTAGTCCTCCAGTTCCCTCCCTCACACACTCAGACACTCGCCAGTCTTCTGACAGCCTCCGTGTCCCTTTCTGGGGATACCAGGCCATGGCAGCAGCCTCTTGCCCTCCCCTCTGCCCCAACACTCCACCGCCTCCCCTACCCAGTGCTTGTACGCATGAACACCTGACTCACACAGTCCACTCACACATGAACGCCCAGCCCTGCCCTTACCCAAACAGTGGCCTTCTTCAGATTCCTCTCTTGTGCCTTCCTCCCTCAGGTAGTACTGCAGCGGATCTGTCCACAGGTGCTCGCTGATGACCTGCTGGGTGCCGCTCACTTGCTGAGGATCTGCAACGGGCTGGCTCAGTTAGGGCTCGAGCCCTTTCCAGGCACCTGGGGGCTTCAATGTGGCCCTTTTGGACCTTGGGCAGCCTCTGCCCCCACCTTAGCAATCCTGTCGGTGCCAGGGCACTTGCTTGCAGACAACCAGCTGAAGAAGCTCAGGCTGGTAGAGTCTGGCCTGTGGCTGCGGACTCTACCTTCACACTCCGAGAACCACCAGACCGTGGTGGAACCAGACACCCTGTATTCAGGGGCAACAGCGAGAAGAGGGTGGCTCTGGCCTGGCTGGCACATGCACCTGCTGCCCGGCCTAGGCCCAGGCAGCCAGCCAGCTCTTATGAGAGATGCTAAGGTGATACTCCTTCTGGATCACTTTGTTCTGATAATATGGCTTGGTCCAAAAGGAAAGCCTTATCCTGAGGTAGGGCTTGGGATGGCCCATGGCCTCCACCTGCCAGGCCAAGTGGAGGAGAAGGGAGAAATCTCCAGTGGGGCTGCACAGGCGGCCTGCGGCCAAGAGAGTGGCAGCCCTTCTGGACTGATGCCCCTCTGCGGCTGTCAGCCCAGCCCCTTCCCGCCGCCCAGGGGACCTTGACCTGCAGGCCGTGGCCCAAAGCACTCGCCCATCAGAGGCCTGGCACAGACACCAGGCACAGGCCTGTCTCCCAGGGCCCTCACTCGCCCCGAACCTGTGCCTGCAGGGTTCTGGAAGCATGGCTGGGCCCCTCCCTGCTTTCCTGCTCCTCCCACGGGTGTTCCTCCAGGCTGGGGTCACTTGCCCCTGCAGGCGGTGCCCACACCTCTTCCCAAAACACCACTCACCCTTGCTCAGGCCTCTGCTGCCTGCTCCCAGTTCCCAGACAAGCAACCCCTGCCCCTAGCTCCTTCCCCGCCCCTCCGCCCACTCGCCCACTCCCACTGGCTCCAGCTGCTAGCAGCAGTAAGGATATAGCTTTGGCCAAGCAGCTGGGGATGCGCTGGCGGGTGGTGCTTCTGGGTCTAGCTGCGGCTTCCGCTGCTGAGTGATCTTGCGCTTGAGACTGGAGGAGGCCCTGCTGGCTCGGGCATTCAGGATGCTCAGCTGCACCTGCAAGACGTGCAGGGCCTCAGAAGGGGGCCGCTGCAGCTGGCCTAGGTCTCTGGTTCCTGGTCCTCCTACTGCAGCTCACTGGGCTCCTCCCCACAGCCCGTGGCTGCTGCGCAGCATCTCCACTGCCGCCGTGGACCAGCATGTGGCACGTAGGGTGCCTCATGGCCAAGGCCAAGGTTACTTTCTCCTGTGCCCCCCCACCTCCATCACATCTTGCACCAGCTGCACCAGCCCATCTCCCAGGCCTGCCTCCTCCCGTCAGGCCAGGCCTCAGCTGCCTACACAACCTCTAGCCTGAAATCTGTGACTGCCTGGGCAGTCCCAGTGGCTATGGGCTGCAGGGCACCAAGGCCCCTCCCGGCCCACAGCAGATAAGGCCCATGCATGGGCCAGCGTGGATTATTGGGGGGCCCCAGGGCTTTGCTCCACTATCCATGCGGGGCCAGATGTGGAGCATGTGGTGCATCTGGGGCGTTAGGCACCCAAAGGCTACGGCTGAGGTGGAGGCTGTTGTGCAGCAGTGGGGTCGGCAGCAACCAGAGGCATCAGCGCATGGGTTCACGGGACAGAGCGACCCCTGTGGGAGGCAGGTAAGTGGCATGCAGCCCAGCAGGCCTGGGTTCTTCCTGAGCCCTGTGACCCTGGACAGGCAGGGAGCATAGGGCGCAACTTTGCACCCCGCACTCCACGCTGGGCAGGGCAGCAGGTAAGCTGGGTGGCAGCCAGGTGCCCGAGGGTGGGCGGTGTGAAGACCTCAGCCCCAGCCAAGTGGGCACAGGCCACTGGGCAGCAGGCTCTGTGAGGGTGGACTACCTGGGTGCCTAGCCCACATCAAGGAGGTTGGACACACCTGAGAAGACCAGTGGGGATGGAAGGGACTGTGGAGAATGGAAAGGGCTGCTGTTGTCGTCTGTTGCTCACCACTCAGCAGGACCTCTTCTCCTTTGTTGTGCATTGTCCTGCCTGTTGCAGCAGCCACTGACGTTTGGGCCTCACCTCATGGTGGGTGAAGGGCCTTGGGGAGATACTCGAGTCCCTCTCATCAGATACCTGAGCGGCAACACCCTGTTGTCCTGGCCCTGAGAGCCCGTGTGTGGCTAAGCTGGCATCTTCCACACTCCACAAATTAATTATCTGTCTAGTGCTGGACTCTGCTGCCATGGGGAGACCTGGAAGGGAGCCTTTGGTGTGTGAAAGGTCTGGAACTTAGCCAGATGACAAAGCTACTTCTAATTTTGCCCTCTGACTTCTGACTACCTGGCCTTTCCTCAGAAACAGACACACTTTCAAAGCATGGTAAAACCACAGTGACTTTGTCCAGGAGGATAGAGCAGATCATCTGATCATGTGGCAGCAAATCAGACACAACAAAGCTCAGAGCCAGCCACCATTAGCACTGCGGTGGTGCTGAGATTGGACATGCCCCAATGTTAAGACCCAGAAATAATCAAGGAAACCACTGCCCCCAGGCAAATAGACTTTGCTTGCTTCATCTTAGCAACACATCCAAGTTCCAGTACTTCAGATAAAACTGATTTGTCCCTTGGTGTGTGTCCTGTTGAGTGAGGACTGGAAGCTAGCCTTTCAGAAACAATTCAAAAAAGCAGAGACTTGGCTTCCAAACAACCTCATATGTTCACTGGCACAATCAGGAATGTTAAAGTCTTGCTGATGGAATGCCTAGGGTGTCATTGGTGGTGGAGACTAATTCTCCTGGCGGAGCAGGAAGACAGTCTTCACAAAAGGATCACAGATTCCTTATAAATTCTGTCCAACCCCATGCCTCCAACTTCCATATCCCACATCTCTCTACCCTCACCACTGCCTCTTTGCTCCTGAGCCCCCCTACGAGTCCCCTGGAAAAACACCTGAAACACACAAGAAAGAGCAACACACAGCGGCTGGGAGCCTGGCTAGGCAAGGTTTAATTTGTAACCCAAATACACGATGCAGGTTTCGCTGAGCCTCACTCTGTAGGAGACACCACAGGTCCACTCTAACTGATGCCCGGTGCAGCAGACCCCTCCTGACCATACATCTTCACCTGCAGTAGCCCCGTCCTTGGCATGACTCTGGGCCTTCCAGAAACACCAAGGGAGACAGACACACGTGTGCACAAAGGCGTATCTCCTCCTGTCTGCCTGATGGCCAGTTTCCTCTGAGTGAGATGAGGGAGGGTGAGATGTCCTTGGCCAGTGCCTGGCAGGAAGAGTCAAGAGTAGAGGGCAGCAATGGAGTCAGAGATGTGAAAGGTCAGCCATGGGGGTGAGCCCCCTCCATGACTATGCACAGACAGAGGAGGGGAGCATAGGAGGTAGGCGCACATTAGGCGGGCCAGATCTGAGGGTGTGGCTGGCTGGGGCAGAGGGTAGGCTTGGCGGCCATGGCACAGCAGTGGGAGGAAGAGGAGTCCATGGCTCATCTTTGCCTATGAGCAATGGTGGACTCCCTGGGCTGTCTGCATCTCTGGCCCCAAGCCTGCCAGGTCAGACCCAGTTTGCTGGACAGTCCCGTACGCATTTCCCACCTCACGCTGGGACCTCAGCCCTCATGAAACTGGCTCAGGAACCCAGGGCCTCTTGAGTTACCCCGCTGGGGATGCCGGGGCGCCTGTACCTGACATGCATATACACTGGCAGCCCTCCCACAGGGAGCCTCACCTCTCCGCCTCACGATTCGTTCTCCCTGTGCCTTCCTCCTCAGGTAGTACTGCAGGGGATCGGGCCACAGGTCCTGGCAAATGATCTGCCGGGGACAGCGGGGTGGGCTCGGACCACAACTCACTCAGCTGGGGGAACCCACCCAGGCCATTCAAGGCTATCACCAGGGAGGCCACACCTCGGCAACCCTGCTAGAGGCTGCAAAGTGGTGGTCAGAGAACCAGTTGAAGAAGTTCAGGCTGCTGTTGTCATGCCTGCGGCTGTAGGCTTCCCGTTGGTAGGCCTGGTGCCACTGAATGCGAGTGGAGTGAGAGGGCCTGTATCCTGCCGGAATAGGACTGTGTGAGAAGGCGCCTGCACGCTGGTTCCAGTGATACAAGGTCAACACACCGGCCTGCTGCTGCCTTCCTGGGGAGAGAACCCTTACCAGTGATGTGCACGAGATACTCCTTGATGACCACGTCATTCTGGAAGTAGGGGTTGTTCCGAAAGAGCAACGAAATCCTGCAGCAATCTCTGTGTTCTTCCACCTACCAGGACAAGTTGAAGGGCGGGTGAGACCTCATCCAGGAGAACAACCCTTTCCTCACCCTTGCCAGGGATCAATGTTTTCCCTGAACCTTCCCCGGCCGCAGACTCCCTCTCCCTGGGCTCACCTTCAGGTTGATCATGTAGCCCAGCATGTCTTCATCTTCGTCACTCAGCCAGGCTGACATCTGGGGGTGGTTCACAAACTGGCCTGGGTCAAGGAGCCTGCTGCCGCTGAACAGGGCAGGCTGGGGGGCAGCCGGAGGCTGGTCTGAGAGAGCTCCACGCCTCCTGGCCTGTGGGACCTGTCCTCCCAAGCCGGGAGGTCACCAGAGCCCTCCACCTCTGCAGCGCCGGCTACAGGCAGGCCCACCCTACCCGCCTGGGTGGTGAGTGTGTGTGCAGCAACACAGGCAGGCCCCGCTCCCTGGGAGACCCTCATCCCCACTCCCATCGGCTCCCGGTTGCTGAGGACCGGGCACAGGAAGTCTCTGGGTGCGGGGCCGGCTCCAAGCCTGGGCTCTGCCTGTGGCTGCTCGCCCAGGGCCACCTGCCCACCGAATACGGGCTTTGCGCGGAAAGCCCTCCTCCAGGGCGCTCCCTGCTCTGCACCGCTGACCCCCAAGTGCCCCCACCGAGTCCCTCCTGCGCCGCCGGACCCCCACCCCCACCCCCACCCCAAGGCTGAGCATCCCGCGGGATCGCCAGGGGGCAGATCCAGGCCGTCCCCCAAGGCCTGCGGGCCGGCCAGCTACGAGTGTGCTCACGCCCGCCCGCGGCCTTCGGTCCAAGAGGCCTGCTGTGCGGCCTGCGCGGTGTCCCACCTGCCCGCTCCCCCAGCCGGGCCCTCCCCCGCCAAGCCCCGCCCCGCCCCGCGGAGCCTTTTTCGCAGCCCAGCCACACTGTGGCCCTGCCAGGGGAAGGGGAAGCGGCAGCAGCAAGGATACGGCCTTGGCCCAGAAGCCACGCACGCCCTGAATAATGGTGCCTCGGCGATCCAGATGGGGCTGGCGCCGCTGGCGCATCCTGAGCTTCAGCCTGCAGTAGGCCCGGCTGGCTTGCCTGTTGACTGGCTCCAGCTCTAACTGAAGCGCCTGCAGCGCCTCCAGGACCGATGGGGCGGTGACCGCGGGAGCGGGCCCTGGCTGCCCGCCCCGCTGGCCACGGCCGCTGCCAGCGCCAGGCCTGCGCCCTCGCCCGGGTCTTCGTCCTCGCCGTCGCTGTCCAGGGTCACCTCTTCCTCAGCCACCACCTCCAAGGCGTCCCCCGGCACCAGCAGCAAGCCCTCGCCGCTACCCGCCTGCGCACCCTGGGGCCCGGCCTCAGCTGCCCGCCCACCCGCCTGCCCGAAGATGGCGGCCTGCTCCTGAGCGCCGTCCCCCGGGGGCCCGTCAGCCACGGGGCCTCGCTGGGAAAGGCCGCCCTGAGGGGCGCGCTGCCCCAGATGCCCTGCGGCCGCCGCCTCCTCGGGGCCGCTCGCCAGCACAGGGCCCACCGCGGACGGCCCCCCGGGAGCCCCGCCAGGGCCGGGCCTTGCCGCGCCCTCCATGCTGTCGTGGGTGCTGCGTGCGGGGCGTCCCCCGTGGCAGCTGTAACTGGAACAGCGCGGGGCGGGAGGCGCTGGCACGTGGGCCGGTGGCTCCAGAGCAGGCCTACTGGAGGCAGGCGCCGTCTTCAGGCAAGGCCGCTATGCCCAGCGGTCTTGCGCTGCAAGGCGGACCTCACCAGTGGGCAGAGGGCGCGTGCGCACAAGTTGGTCCTGACGCCTGGCGGGATGCTTGCCCGGCACACCCTGGCGGCCCAGAACCAGGCCGGTGGGCGGCACCGTCGACGGGCCCGCCCTCGCTGTGGGCCAGAGACCCAGGCCCAGCCCCCCGCGGCCTCCCAGGCCTGCGGAGCCTGCGCCCAGGAAGACCTGCGGCCGGCCTTGCAGCGCCCGACCCCGGTGCCCGGGGCCGGCCTCCACTGCCGCTGGGCCGCTAGGGGATGCCAGCCCGAGAGCCGCCCCACCCCTGCAGCGGACGGCAACCCTGTGTCCCCTGGGACGCCGCCACACAGCCAGGGCCCAGGGCACCTCAAGGGGCAGGAAGCCTGAGCCGCGCGCAGTGGCCAGTAATGAGGGCCAGTCGCATCCAGGCTGACAGGGGCCATCCCACTCACGGGGGACGAGGATCTCTGGCCGAGCGGGGGCCTGGGTGCCCAAACAGGCTTTGGGTGGAAGGCCACTGATGCAGGGGCCACAGGTCCAGGAGGGCTTTTCTGGTCCCTCTCTGCCTCGGTGCCTGGGAGGGTCAGTCTCTCCCTCAGCCTCACCTCTGGGTCTGTTCCCCCACCTCTGCAGAGGGGCTGGGCCTCACTCCCTCTGGCTGTCAGGCTGCCCTTCCTTGGTGGCCCTGACTTCCCCCACTCAGTGTCAGGTGTGACTCGGTGGGCACCTGCCCAAGGCCTGTTATTTTCCCAGCAGAGGATGGTGTCTGCTCCCAAGCAGGCGCCCCCTTGGACTGCTGACTCTGTGTGCCCACACTTTTGCATGCGTGTGCAGTGGGGGAAGAGCAAGGCACTGGTGCTTGCTCCTCGGCCATCAGAGTGGGAAAAGTCAGGAGATGAGCCCCTCCTGCACCCTTGGGCATGACACTGTGCAAGACGGAGCCTTAGGTCCCCCTTGAGAGGCTCCCTGCAGGATCGCCCTGGAGCAGGCTCTGTGCGCTGAGCGTGCCTTGTTGCCTGCCAGGGCTGTGCAGGATGTCCAGCCACAGCCCTGCCTCAAGCTCACCCTCCCAGCTCCCCAGCCACTGCGCTGGCCTTTAATACTTTTCACATCCATCTCCAAAGCACTGAGGCAGGGGCAGAAGGTCCTATCTGTGGATTTGTGAACGCTCCTGGCACCCATCCAGGGGCCCTCCGTGTTTTCAGCTGGCTGGCCAGGTCACTCAAGGGGCACAGTTTGCCTTTGTCCCTCACCAGATAGCCCAGGGGCAGGCGCGCCCAGGAGCTGCCAGGCTTCCAATCCAGTCCAAACACCATGACAGGCTGGCAGGTCATCTCTATCTTCCCTGTGCCCTGGGGAGGTGGGGTGCGAGGCAGGTTGGGCGCTGAATGTCTTTCTGTGGGGACTGCAGCCCCAGCAGCTCAAGCCATCTCTCCAAGGCCAAGGCCACTGCCACCCGAGAATGTTGCATGATGTGTTTAGGCCTTCACCATTCCCTTTGTAAGAGAATAGCGCCAAATTTAAGCAGGCCAAGTGCTTTATTTATTTATTTATTTTTTAATTTCTTCACTTGTAATAACAGAACTTTAATTTGGTTTATACTTTTCATGACATCGAAAAGACATCTCAGAGCACTTTTATGAAAGAGAAAGGAAATGAGGGGTAGGGCCTCCCTGTTGGCGCAGTGTTAAGCATAGCTTTATGAAGCTGTCTGTGACCTCATCAGCTGGAGGTTGATCCCAGGCCTGCCAGATAGCTCTCCGTGTGGTGCAGACAACCTCTCCTGTCTTGCCTGCTGTTCCCCTCAGCAGTGTATTTCAGTCAGTCTGCCTGCTGTGTTTCCCACTCTGTCTCTGGTGAATCCTCTCACTGCCCCCCCCCCCGAAAGTGAGTTCTTGTATGCATAAATGAACAAATATTCAAAAAGAGAAAAGAAAGAAAACGAGGTAAAGAGCAGTGGGATCTGCAAGGTAAACTGTTGATAAAGGCACTAGTGAAATAATCAGATGAAGGTGTCTTAAGTTAACATTAGGTCAGCACTGCCCTTTCAGACCTTCTCAACCCAGCTGGTCGGCTGGGTTCTTGTGTACTACTGAAGGAGGCATAATCACTGACACAGGCTGAAGATTAACAAGCTCAGCTTTGTTGCAGAAGAGACTCCGGACAGCAGGAGGGTGTGTTAGGGAGCAATAGGTTACTGAGGGCATAGGTTCCCTTTGTGCAGGGCTCCTGAGGACTCTCCATTGTTCTTCAGAGCTCCCCAGAGTTTGTTCCACTCTGGAGTGCTTTTCCACTGCCCTACATTTTACCTCGTCACTTCCCTAGTCAGCAAAAGGTGTGAAGCAACCACTAGCTCACGCCTGCCAGCCTTGCGGTTATAAGCTTTTGCCCACTGCCCCCCAGCTCCCTCGAAGTGCTGTTCTTCCTGACTTCTTATGTTACTGGTGGTTTCCCCATCCCAGTTCCTTGGCTCAATGTATTTAGTGTAATTCAGTTATTTTGTTTTGAGTGTTGAGGGGGTAATGGACCATCAAAGTGGTGGACAGCTCTAAATTACTTGTTTCCTTCTTGTTGGAGATTTTTGTGTCCGTATTATTGACTTTGGAGTGAATAGAAACCCCCTTTTATCTCTCTAGTAATTAATTCATTTTGATTCAGTTAACGTTGGTTTACAAATGACGCCAGTTAATCAAGACGACAATGTATTTTGTGATGACAGCCCCAGATCCACTTCAAAACCATTCTCTCCTTACCTTGCCCACTGTTCCCTCCATCTTCCACTGAGCACCACTGATCAAGTATTGGAAGGTGCTGTTGGTCACTCACTGGACTGAATCTCCTCATGCACTCCTCATGGCTCCCTGGATGCCAGGACATGTCATTTCTCATGTATGCATCCCCCTTTGCAGGGACACTGGCCTCCTTGTGAAACGCTCTTTTTAATAGGGATGTATAGTGTAAAGGCTCATATGCCCATACATTCATTTACCCGGTAGAGAGGGAACCATGATTAGAATTTGACAATGACATAACAGTGAATCAGGAAGAAACGGAAAACCTCAGTCAGCCAATATCAAGCAAAGAAGTATGGGGAATATAACCAAAATGAAATGCGTACATTGTGCAAAGATGAAAAATGATGTAAGAATTATATAAAATAAAATATTAAAAAAAGAAGTTGAAACAGTCATCGAAACTCTTCCAAGAAACTAAAGTGCAACAGAAGGCACCACAGTGAATTCAAAGAACTAGTAGCTAGCATGCTGAAACTCTTTCTAAAATTCAAAAAGAAAGAATACTCCGAGGCTATTTTAGGAGGTATTACCTTAAAACCAATAACAAAGAGAGTCAAAACACACAAAAGAAACCTAGAAACCAATTTCTCTTATGAACACAGATGTTCAGATCCACACAACTTAAGCAAATTAAATCCAGCAAGATACACGTCTGCACTTACGAATGCAAACAGCATCAATCAAAATCACTTCCAGGAAAAAAAAAAGAAAAGATACTAATATTTCTAGGGGTACATAATTGATGATAGTTTATGCAATTAATTAAAAGCTTAAAGAAAAAGGGTTGTGGATTCTCTATAGAAAGAATATCAGATAGGTGCTGTCCGTCAACGATGGTATTAGCAATGGATGGGAAAAGAGTAAGTTTTGTTCGCATGCAATTTTGATATTTGAAAAAGGAGACAGGGAATACATGGAAAAAAATTGGATGTAAAATATTTGTGGGAAACCAATGTTGGAAAAGAAATGTTTTTGGGATTTTTAGATTCACCTTTAATATTCACATCATACACGTATAACAGCAATTTTTCATTTTAATTCAGCCGCCAAAAATGACTGTTTACTTGGACTATTGAGTTGTTCATGACACAAAGTGTTGTGAAAGACTCCTTTGCCTTTAAGCAATCCGATTAAAAAAAAAAAAGAGTGGGTGATTTGCACTAATTTCATCATCAGCCTTTTGATTCACTGTGAATCCTATCTCGGCAATATCTATTTCGAGTGGTTAATTTGCTCAAAACCATGTTACACTGCCACAAGTGTCTTTGAAATCTTTGTCACTTTGGCAAGATGGATAATCATGAGTTGCCTCAATAATCTGTAAGCTTCCACTTAATTAAATATCAAACTCCTTTCAACACTTTTAAAAACATCCCCCCCCACCCAATCTACAAGTAATAACGAGGGGTCAAAGAGAATGGGGAAGGAATGGAATACTACGAATGGAATGGAATACTACGAAATAGTAACCGATCCATGATAAACATTCCTGGTGACACCAAGGGCAGTGAAGCTTGCTGGAATTAAACATTGGATGTACTGCACCAGAGTCAAGAATGTGCCAGAGGATCATAAAGCTTATGCTTGTGATAGTAACATGCTCTTTGTCCCTCCAGGGGAATGTCATTTTGTTCAGGCATGATGTGACTGCCTGGGCATATGTGGCACAAAATGTTCAATGTATCTCTGACTTTTGCCTTGCAGTGGGACATATGTTGAGCAGAACTTGCCATCCTACTAGGGGTTCCATGAGGGCCTTAGGGAATTACACCTTGCTCCAGTGTTTGGAGAAGCCCATGCCTTACTCTCCAGTTTGTCCTCAGCTACTTTGTGGATGACCAGATTTGGTTTTTTACCAATTCACCCTGTGATTTTTTTTTTTTTTGTTTTTTTAATAATGTGCTGATAGAACACCTGGAAGCATTTCTAGTGATATTAAAACGACAAAAGCAGAATGCAGTATTAACCACCACATAAGAGGATGTCTTTCTTTGCTCAGCTCAGTGCCCTATTGTATTGAATAGGGAGGGAGTAACCAAAAATTCC